AGTGCATATGTGTACATTAGGGTGGTGCTCAAAAATATTCAAATATGAATTTTTTATGGGACAAGTCATTGCTTTGTTCTACGAAATTTTAATCTACATTTCCCAGCCGGTATTAGGTTTGAAAAAATTTAAATTTAATAAATTTGAGTTATTATTTAAAAATATTCTTAAAAATTCATAGTCAGCGCGAAATAGATTCATAAAATATTAAGCTGCAAAAACTGTCATTCTAAGTTTAGAATAATACCGTATATAGGCGAAAGGGCTAAAGATTTTTTTTATTTTCGAGCTATGACTGCAATAAAAATATTTTCCTTTGCTAATCTGTTAGTCGATCTATACACCAGAACTACAAAATACCAGTCGAAGCGATCGGAATAAAAATCTCTGAGTTACAGCTGGTCAAAGTCAATTTTTTTTTTTAATTTTTGGCGAAAAATTAATAACTTGAAATCCCAGTAGCGACCCCTAGAAATTGTTTAAAAATTTTGAATCTTCTTTGATGACTCTTTTTGTACTTAGAACAAAATAAAGGGGTACCGCATGAAAAATTTAGATTCGTATAATTTGAGAGCACCCTAACATATATATGTACATAATAACCCGCCTATGTACATGTGCACATCCATGCAATCTGACTCACGTCCAGCGGCCGTATATAACTCATTTGCTGGCGCTGATGTCAACTACCTCATTAAGATAAGCACCGACTAAAACAAAAGAAAACAACAACTAATATAACTACTTCGCTACGAGCGCTTCAGTAACTACAACAAAAGCAACCAATAACGCTTGCGTGCAGCTATAAAGAATTTAAATACATTCATATATGTATGTACATTAGGGTGTATCACCAAAAAAGTTGCGTTTTTTTCTGCCTAAATTACAATATTTATTACATTTTGAGACTACCGCCAAAATATTTCGGAGAAATGTTTGAAACAATCTCATTATTTAATTCCATAAATCTTTAAAAACTAGTTTGCGGATTTTTAAGCTTCATATACTAAGGTACTTTTTTAGATTTTTTTTAAGCAAATTTGGGATTTTTAAGCAAATTTTTGATTTTGGGAATTATTGTAAAATAGGTCCAGCTCACGTAAATTTTAATAGTATTGTTCTGAAATATTCAGCAGGATGTCTCTTTTAAAATATAATAAGTCTTATATTTCCGATGGAAAACAGTAACACTTTTTTTGTATGGAGAGTGATGCACCCTAATGTACATACACACATACATATATTGTATTTGAAAGCGACATTGCTTTTGTTTTTTTTTTTTTGCCTTTTAACTACTAAATTTGGTTAACACAGAGTATTAAAAGAAAATCGAAAACTTCGTCATACCAGCTTGTATCTACAGTGGCGGCTTATTGAAAGCGTTTATGGACACTCGTCCGCTTTGATTATAAAGAAACGTGTAAATACTTTTTTCTGCTTCTGCTGGTCAACTAAAAAATATAGAAAATGTTTTCTAGGAAATGCGGGTGTAGCCGGATGCATTCGCATGATTGTTAACACATATTTGTACCCATGTGCATGTGTATGTATGCTTCCAAATACTCCTAGTAAATATTTATTTAAAGCAAGGAATGAAACCGAAACCCAAACCGAAACCGTAACCGTTTAAAACTGTTTCGTTTTTCAAAACCGAAACCGAAACCGTAACCGTTATCTTCACCTGAAAAGGAACGATACCGAAACCATTTCAATCACAGGTTTCAATCGGTTTCCAGAAATTTACAAAAATAAAAATAAAAATGTCTTTGAAATAAACGATTTATTTAACCAAAATCAGCAACATTTTGCTAAAATTCTTGTTAAGTAGTAAATAAGTATGGCAAGGTAACTTTTCGCAAAAATCTGCTGATGACTTTGTTGTTGTGAATCGATAATCGATTAATTATATTTAAGTAGTTTCTTTCCCGTACACAATGCGAGATCCCGCGTGTGCCCAAAATAGCCCAGAAATCATGCCTGTACTCAACAAAATGGGTAATAGAGAGCGAAAATTCGAGCGTATTCGATCGTAAGTGTATTCTTCTTCCTGCCCGAAACAGCCCGACATTTTCTCCGAGTAAAAATGGATAAAGTGTCAAAGTGCATATCAGCTGTATTGTGTTTACATGTTGCCTGCATTTACTTGGTGCTTTTAAGGAAAAGTGAATGGCCTGTTGATGAATTTTCAATCTATGTACTTAAAATCAAATTTGTGAAACCAAAATTCAATTTCCAAGTGTTTGCATTTAATACCATGTTCTGACCGACAACCAAAACATTTTTCCTTCATTTTCTTTTCATTTACAACCTTTAACTTTCATTCTTATTTTGCTTTGGCCAGGCAATTAACAATAAATCCGAAATGGCGTATTAAAGATGATAAAATATGACTTCCACTTCGATAAATAATCGAAAAAAACTAGTGAAGACACCGATTGGAATGAGTGGAAAGTGAGTTTTCAAGTAGTTTTCAAGTAGTTTTCAGCGAAAACTGGTTTTCGTTTAACAGATTTTATATGGACGAAAACAAAAGTTTTAGGTCGAAAACCAGTTTTAGCAACGAAAACATGTTTCCGATGTCGGTCAGAACATGGTATAAGTGACAAAAACAAGAACAACGGGAATCAGCTGTTTCTCGACTTGTGGGCACGAAATGTGGGTTTTTGTGTGTCCGTACTTCTGAACTTTGTTCCAGTTTTGAAAGAAAATGTTTCTCTTATTCTCTAATAACCAAATCCGGTCCTGATTGTTAGGGAAAGAACCTAGTGTTGATATTATCAGTGAACTGTAATTTTCGATTTTCATTCCTCAACGTTTAAGACATTGTGATTTAAATAATATCAACAAAATTTCTGTGAAAAACCGAAACCGGAACGAAACCGAAACCAAAACCGAAATAAATTTTGAAGAACGAAACCAAAACCGAAACCGAAACACTTGGTAAAACCGAAACCCAAACCGGAACGTTATTTTGAATCGGTTTCATTCCTTGATTTAAAGTAGGTAAAGGTTCACATATCGTCTAAATGAAATAGCCCACGAAAGTGAACATTGAAATTTTGGAAAGATGTTACTTATGAACAAATATAGACGTTCAATCTTTAGAGCACGAGAAATTGCTAGCTTTTACTTTTTTTATTTTTTAAGGTAGAAAGAAAATTGACTGCTGTTTTCGATCAGAGAATGGTCGATAATTTTAACCTCGTTTGCTTTTGCAAGAGTCGGTAGAGAATTTTCGAAGTTTTTGTGTAAATTTTTTGAAAATTTTACAATTTTTTTTTTGATATTTTGGATCTTTCTGGAATTTCATTGGGATTATGCGCTTTTCGTGGTATTTCTAGATGTAATCGGCACTTTTCAGGATTTTTCGACAATTGGTTAGACAATGCAATTAAATCCAATATTAAGAGTCTAAATAAAAAGAAAAAACGACCAACGATTTTCTATTCACAAAATATTTTATGCAGTCTTTTATTTCTTATTTAAAGAAAGGTAATATAATTAGATTTTATCGCACGAAATACCAAAATGCTACAGTTAACTAAAAGCGTTTAAAATTATTATTCACTGGGTGCGGCTTTTACTAAAAGGGCAGTGGCAATTTTTTACTATAACAGTAAGTAAAAATTTGTAAACTGTTGCTTCAGAAAATGGTCCCTGTGTGGAAGAAGTTTTTGCTATTGCTGAATCCTACATAAACATTATACTCCACTGCTTGAAATGCCAAGAGTGGCGTGAGTCTCCCATCTCTGTTTGTGTGTTGCCAGTACCTTCTTTGTTGTGTTTGGTCACTTCAAAGAAAACACACGCAATCTAGTCGCCCTATATAAAACCTCTTCTGGTCTCCAATGGCGTGACGACTAAGTGGTAGTGCGCAGCTCTAACCAAAGGTTTTAAGCGAAAAAAGCGGCAGTTTCACTAAAATATGATACACTGAAATCTTTGGCTTACGCTAGGTCAAAAACAATAAACGTGTGAGATCCCATGTAGGCAATAATTTTAGTGCAAACATTTTAAATTCTGTGGCTGTACGCGTTGGCTGCCTATGTAAGAAAGCACGTGAGTGACGAGATGGCGCGTAGTCCAGTTGCTGACTAACTATTTAAGAATCATTCGTTGCTTAAATATAGTAATTCATGTTAAAAGAATATGAATGTATATGTATTAAGTGCTATAGGCAACAATAAAGTAGACAGCTGGTTCATTGCCTTCTAACAAGCAGCAGATGTGCAACCAAACTGAATACTTGGCATCTGAGCTTTAATTGTTTATACTAAAAACTTGTTTCCCCACACTTAACTTGAACCTATCTTTTTATACATAAACTGGATGAGACATACCTACATGGGTAAATACTAAGCAAACATAACTAAGATTTACATATTAAAAACAATGCGGTCGAATCTAGAAGAATTTTATCTAAAGTAAAACAAATAACAAAAGAATTCGAAAAGTTTGTTCACCCAGATTTAAACTTTTGCTAAGCGCTTCAAAGCTATATTAGTAATTTTTTAACGTAGTATAAAGTACGTACACATACAAATATAGAAACGTACGCACATGCATACTAGGGTGGTCATTAAAATACCACAAACTAAAGAGATCCACAAAAAATTCAAAGCTTAAAAAAATTTTAGGACTTACCCTGATAGGAGTTGGAAACATTTATCTGTTATTTTAAATCGCAAAAATTCGAAAAAAATTTTGACGTCAAATCTGTTAAGTTTGACACTTTGTGATATAAATTCATAAACTCACTGAGTTTAAGCTGGTCAAACACAAAATGTTCTCCAATTTTTGCGTTAAAAAAAAAATAAATTTTTTAAATCCCTGATCTTGACCCCCATTTTTTTTTTAATTTTGAAATTTTCGTGGTTATCTTAGTTTTGTAGATAAAAATATTAAGTTGTTGACAATTTTAAGCACCACCCTAATACATACATTAGTGAATATATAAATTGGTAGGAAGATAACAACACACTGTTTGATTTCTTACTCACATTGCGCTAAACTGGGATTGTCGACGAAAACGGGCGTCGCTAACGTTGGTGTTGCTGTGCAGCCGAGCAGCAGTAAAAACGCCACAAGAGGCAGCAATGATGCAGCATCAGATTTTATTACTTGCCATAATGGCATGCTGCGGCTGTTGCTGTGGCTGTGGCTGTGGCTGTTATTGGCGGAGAGATGCAGGTGCTGGTTGGTGGTATATTTTTGCTGCAACGCATTGCTTAAAGTATCTTTCGTGCGTGCTTCTGTTGTTTTTGTAATATATGTTGCTGTTGTTGTGGTTGTATCTGTAGCTTTTCTTGTAACATTTGCACTACATTTACTCAACGCATTTGAAGCTGAATTCCTGTTTGACGTTCTCGTAGCGGTTGGCACAGCTGAAGTTCCAGTCGCTTGCGAAGTTGTTTTGAAGGCAGGCGGTGGAAATGAAGCCGGTTTTATTTGACGTATTGTACCCATCTGAAAATGAGGCGAGATGAAATGATTAATTGTAGCTAAGTATGTATATAAATACAAAGAAAAAGTGTGAATAGGCCCGTGTAGCAGTATGAAACGCAATTGTTTGGTTAATTGTTCTATAATTTGGTGTAATATAGTCCGAATAGTCTATTTTGTGGCTTTGTAAAAATGCTTGGGTCTCAAATAATGATTTTTACCAGCCCTTTAGCAACAATGCAGTCTCTGATATTAGTTGAAATTTTATAATTTCCGTAAACATAAACGATCTTTTATTTATATTGGCGAATTAAAGATCGTTGGTATACCTTCTAAGCGATTTTACGAAAAGTGAAATAGTTTTTGCCACACCTTTTACGGGATAACTTAATGGATGAAATTCAAACTTTTACTGAAACGAAATTCTGCCAAATAAGTAAAAGAAAACGAAAGCGAGAAATTTTAACGTCCATCATAAATCAAGAATTAATCACACCCTGAATTCATTAGCGAACCAACAAACTTATATGGAGATTTTTTCTCCTGAGCGAAAAGCGAAAGTTGCGTGGTTAGCAAAGTGAAAAAATTTCTTAAATCTGAGAAAAATATGTTAATAAAGTTGCAGCCGCCATAGCAGGCCAATAATAAAAGCCAGTCAGAGCGACGCAATAACAATAACTATAAAAGTAAATATTTTGCACGCACAAACAAAAATACAGAAAATACAGAAATAACTCGCGAAATGCAAAACTTTCATTCTGACCTAATATTGCCTAAAAAGAAATGGAGAAAAAATGAAGCAAAACGATACACTTAATTGCTGATCGACTGACTACAGCTGGCACTGATTGTAGCTGACTGCTAGCACAGGTCGTGCCCGTCGACGTAGAGCCGGTGTCGGTTGGCAGGCAGGCAGGCAGGCGTTGGCCTCAAATGTCGCTGTGATTGGCAGCGGTGACTGGCAATAAGAATACATAGCTGCAAGTAGCAACAGCAACAGCGGCAATCAGCAGTGGCACAATTTGTTTACTTGGCGGAGATGAAGATAAGATTTCGTGAGTGAACCCAGTGAACCATATGCTATGTATGCTTAATTTGGAGAAGAGATGCATAAAAATTGTAATGGTAATGCTAATAGAAAATGGTAATGGAAAAGGTTCTGGCAATGGTAATGGTAGTGGTAATGGTTGAAGTAATGGAAATGGTAATGGTAATGTTAATGGTCGTGGTAATGGTAACCGTAATGGTAATGGTGGTAGTAGTGGTAATGTTAATATTAATATTAAGTGTAATGGTAATGGTAAAAAAAACCATAATAATAATTCCAATGGTATTTTTAATGGTAATGGTAATGGTAATGGTCTTGGTAATGGTAATGGTTATTGTAATGGTTATGGTAATGGTAATGGTAATGATAATGGTAATAGTAATGGTAATGGAAATGATACCAGTAATGGTATTGGTAATAGGAATGATAATGGTAATGGTAATGGAAAGGGCTATTGTAATGGTAGTGACAAATGTAATGGTACTGAAAACGCCAACCATATATCTTTTATATATTGGTATTCGTATGTATGTGGGTTCATATACTGCGTATAAGTACTTTCTCATTACTAAAGGTTTACTGGTGTGTATAGCACATACATACATACATTTTGCTCTGCAATTACTTTCGCTTTACAAACGCTAATTTTACGCCCATCAGGGCCACTGCAAATTTTGGCTTAAGTGAAATTACTTTTACATATATCGGTATAGGTTTTGAAATTTTGTTTACAAATATGTTTAGCAAAATTCTTGCAAAACTCTTCAAAAAATGGCACCGGTTACGTGCGCACGCGCAGCAATATTTAAAACCTCATTCTCGCATTTACGAACTTGTGTGTGTTTGTAAATATGTGTTTGTTTTGGCTTTAGCGATACGAGAGTAGGTGAAAGTTATTGACGATAATGCGAATGAATGTTGAAATTACGGAAGCGTTGCCAGGCGTGTGGAATTCTGCAAATTTGCTAGCTCATAAAAAAGGAATTTGCAAGCGTTTATGTAAGGTTGTGAAATTGTGGATTTAGTGTAATAAAAAAGAAATACGCATATCATACGTAGAGTCTCTGACCGTTTAATATTTTCAATGAATGCAGTTTATTTCTTAAAATTTTCTAGATTTGAGGAAAAAATACAAATGTGTAAATATAGGTATGTATGCTATACCTATGTATGTATGTATGCATTTGTTCAAGTGTATGCTGTTATGTATGCATGTGCATACAACATAAATACCAAAAAAAAAAAATCCACCTCAATTGTTGACGCATCTGGAATTTCACACTTAAGAAATCAAAAGTGTTTTATCACTCCATCGACGTCAACTTGAGTCACCAGCTTCGCTTCACATCTTGCACCGCAGCGGCTGCCTAGACTAGTTAACGCACCTTCGTTCACCTTTCACATTGACTATTTTTTTTAAATTCACTTTATTTTAGTTTATTTGGTTTGTATTGGTTGTTCGGGCTTTTCAAATTTCATATGCAAGTGTGTCATGCGCTTCTGCTATTTCGTTTTGTATGCATTTGGCAAAAATGTGTCACCTTATTTGGCTGTGTAAAAGAAAGTTTTT